TATCTATCTATCTATCTATCTATCTATCTATCTATCTATCTATCTATCTATCTATCTATCTATCTATCTATCTATCTATCTATCTATCTATGATTAGTGAGCTAATCAGAAAAAAAAGTTAACGGTATGGCAGTAGCTTATAGCAGGCCTATTATATTTACATTAACATCAATAACATTAATGTATTCCTATTTTAAAATTAATATGAATACATTTTTATTAACAAACAGCCTAAAGGAAATAGAAACAGCTGATTAAGTCACTGAAAATAGAGAAAGTGTAAAGTCACATGAGAAAGAGATATGATAGGCAACTTTATAATTTACATTTGCTCTGAGCGCATCAGCTAGTGAACTGGAATCATCATAGATACAAAGTTATACAGTAGGCGATGGCTCTGTGATTCTTTCTCTTCTTTTAAATCCTCATGGGTTGTAATGAGAGATTTTATATTAATCTTCCCCATAATCTATGAGCTTACTGAGTGTATTAGGTAGATCATTCTGCTACTGTACATAATTGGCAAATCAGGGATTTAAAATGTGTCAATAGTCACTCGCTCAAAAAAATAAAAAATCTTCAGCCATAAACTATTTAGTTGTTTTGACTCACTGGGGCAATGGCAGCTGCTGTCTCCACTGGATGATAACAGAGACTGGGAAACCAATCCCTGCCGGTTGATTACAATGTAAACAAAATGTGCTGCATAGTTCACTGAGTTCGTAGTTTAATGCAACCAAAGTTTATGGTTACAAGGGAACACAGATCTGGAAAATAGATTGAAAGCTATTCACCCCTGACATTAAATGAACTGCAAAGAAGATTCAGATGCTTAGTATTACTGCATCTATCAGTTTGGTCATTTAAAGAAGTTCAGTTTCTTGAATTTAAAACAATGTTTTGGGTTACTGACTACCTGACAGAGAGACTGCAGTGCCTGGGACTGGATGGACCTCTGTCTGATTAGGTGATGTGCAGCACTGGAGCATCACAGAGGACTGTGCGGTCTCCACTTCTGTTCACTTTTTGAGTTGTACAGATTTTCAGTCCAACTTCAGGTCATAGCACCTATAGAAATGCTAATGATTCTGCACTGCTTTGACAGGAGAAGCACTACAGAGCTGTCTTGTCAGAGCAATCTGAATATGCTTTATTTTGAAAGTCTGATCCCTACACTAAACCCCAAAATAGATTCCTTTTGAAATTTATTATATTGGATCTGCTGGAGCTCTGATTTTCCTCCCTACTGTGATCTAATGCCCTCCTGATGATAGAACGCAATCCGGGACATTGAGCTGAAAACCCCAGTCAGGAGAGCCAGCATAAACTATTTGCCAATGTTAATGTTTGAAGATGAGAACTACAAACAAATTGCATCCAGCATCTGTTAAAACAGCAAGGATTCATAGTGAAAGAGTCTGGGTGCTGAAGTGGCCTGGCTGCATTCCAAACCTTCCACTAGCTGAAAACATTTGGCGCAACATGAAATCAAAAATACAACAATGAACACCCTGGACTGCTGAACTGCTCAAATCCCCTATCAAACATCAATGGTAAACCATTCCTCACCCAAAAGTCCATCAATGGGTCTCCTCACTTCCCAGATGGTTATGGGCTGTGGTTAAGAGAACAAAGGATGCTACGCAGCAGCTATAAGATGTTTTGGTGCCATCAAATTCAAAATAAAACTCCCCCCCCCTTAAAATGTTACAATGTCTTAATTGAAACATTTGATTATGTTCCATTATGAATAAATTGTGTCCCAACTTTTTTGGGGTTGTTAAGTAGACTAAAATATTAAAAGTCTATGCAACCCCATTACATAGTAATACATACTTTAAGTATAATTCCATACAGTTTTATTATATTTTTTATTGAGACAAACACACAAATATGGCTTCCTGCTTAAACATAAGGATTGTTTTAAGTTAGTGTGGCAGCAGATACGAGAGCGTCAATATCCTGAATTGCTTTGGATGTCCTTTGAAGAGCTTCAGCAACATAGTTGTCATTTAATGGCTCACAAGTGACGTCTGCAGGTCTTTCCTCCTCATCTGCATGTGCTTTTCCACTTCTCAGCACATGACTGTTCTCCAGCAGAACTGGGCAAAGGATGTTAAAGAGCACACAGAGAAACCCTCAATACAGACATCAATGTTCATGTCAGCATCCCGTTGTATCTTGATCCTAGCACTGAAGGATACAGGTGAATCGCTTTATCTTCTCAAGCTCTGCAGCAACGAGCTCTGATCTAAAATGAACAGGAGGTCAAATGAACAGTACACACAAGCTGTTAACACCTTTAATTTTATAACAAAATATCAACAGAGTGACCAGAAAAACACAACTTACAAACTGCCTGCTTCCTCTGTCACACTCATGCGTTGCTCAGCAGGCACAGGAATGGACACCATTTCTTCAAACGCTGCTGGTTTACAAAAATATCCATCCTGCAAACAGAAAGAGATTCAGCAACTGGCAGTGCACAAGCTTAAATGGTGTAAGTGTAGGTATCCACAGGTGTAACAGGAGGTACTACTACTTCGAGCTCTTGCAAGCAGCTGGGTAAGGCTGGACACTTCAGTGACTTCAAGGCCTGGTTGTAGCAAGCCAGGATCCTGTAAAACAGTTATGCGATGGGTGAAGACCGGAAAAAATTAAAAGTCCTTTAACTCACCAGACTGCGATGAAGAGGGGGCAGCTTACCTGCTTGCACGACTCACAATAGAGCAAACAGAGTAGGCCTGTCCAAGCACATCAGGTGGAAGGTTGTTTAAATGGTAGGTTACCTCTTTGACCTGTGGTAAAGATGGGCTAAATTTGTAAGATGTTTTTTAAATGTATTGGTTAATCTCTTATTATAAAATTTAAAGTTTACCCGCCCTGACTGGAGTTCAGTTTTGTGATGCGTAAAATAAGAGTTAAGGTTGCGGTTAGAGCGGATGACTGATCCATCCCCTGGGGAAACCTCAACAGCTGAGACAGATCCACTCAGTATCCTACACAGCAGACATGAAGGTAAACACACTATTCTGGTGTAGATTTATGGACCATCTCCCACACTCTATACTGTACAACAATGATTTTTTTATCATGAGTATGAAAATTGAAGATATCAGAGAACCTTTGGTGTTAGACTGAATCAACAGGAAGGATGCTTCTGCTGTATTGAGTGTATAACCTCTTTTTAAGTTTTGTGGATATTACACATGGTTATGCTGAGGATATGTCAACCAATTTCCACTGGAAATGCCTTTTGGTTAAACTGTCAGCAAGGAATTTGCATTTCGACTGTTAAATTTATATATAACAACTGTGCTTTGCCTGCACCAGTGTGTGAGCGTGAATGAATAGTGGAATTGTAAAGCGCTTTGGGTGCCTAGAAAAGCGCTATATAAATACAATCCATTGTTAGTGTCAGTTATATCGTAATCACAAATTTTCAAATGTATATCTTGATAAATATTTTTGATCATATCGCCCTGCTCTACATCACATGATATGAAAAGTGATGTCAAAGTGATCTATTTATACCATTGGAGCCTCACACACTCAGCTGTAGACCAGACGCTAGTTAGGTTTGCGAGGATTAGGGCTCAGGCCTCAGAGCAAAGATTCTGAGCTAACAACATAAATATTAGTGACTTTAGAATGGCCCATAAGCTGTCAAACACAATAACAACAGAGTTTCTCTCTGGTTAATCCAGTCTAACATCAACCATCATTCAGAGCTTTTTTTTTTTAACAGTGGCCTTAAGAGATCAAACACATTGCCACTTAAGAAAACACCAATGAAAATAAACATTCTACAAAAGTTAAGTTAGTTAGTTAAGTCTTCTTAACTTGCAGTGCGTTTGACCTTGCAGGGCCACCGTAATTTATGCCCTGAAGACCTGCACAGTTACCTGTAAGTGACTCCCTGACACCACACTACCTTTACCATCTCAGTCGGAAGGTCTGTGTGTTCTTCTTTGGCCAGGGGATCTTTAACCTTCCACCTTAAATACACAAGTATGGAAGCTTAAATCAGCCACTGAACAATATTGAAATGGTTTACAAAATGCTTGTTTTTAAATCTACAAACCTGTGCCGATGAGGCGTTGGACACGTGAGAGGCAGCGCCTGAGGAACACGGGACCTTCTGCCTTCACAGGATATGTCCAATTTCTTTATTGTCTTGTCTGATTGGTTCGAAGTGCTAGCTCCTCTATCCGCTACATCTTTAGCTTTAGAGAAACGAGCTGCCCAGTGATGGCGAGCCACGGAAAGAGGGTAGGCCCATTTGGGAGCAACTGCACAGCATGAATGATGCTGGACCACTGTGGTGGACTGGTACACCTGTTCAGGCTGGAAAGAGAAGAAAAATCAATCATCCTATCAGACTTTAGATACATTGGCATTATTATTATTAGAAGGAAGTACTACCTTTTGGTGCCCATCGCTGATCATCTGAGGAGAACAAGACCTCGGTCTGGTCAGCATTGTCCTCATGTTTCTTCTTCCGTGCCGGACCACTTCGGTGTGATCACTGGTATTATCGGGTATTGGACTGCTTGCTTGCTCTTGTCTGCCGTAGCTATCATCTCTGCTCACTTGCTGCACACTGCGGTGCTGATTACGAGCAGAACTGAGGCTGCACATGAACTCCACTGTGAATTCTTCACCGGAGGATGACAGCACCAACACAGCATGTCCCTCCTCTGACCTGACGATGGTCTCGCCTCCAAGTCCGAATTCAGCCAGAGAGGCTGACACCTCTGGCCAATGTACAGCTGAATCAATGCTGAAAAAAGGCTGTATGAGGAAGTGCAGAACATACAAAGAGAGAGTAATTACACTGCCCATAGTCTAAGGGAGTATCACAGTGACTAGCAACCAGTTCTTTATACCTTTTTGTTCTCAGCAGAGATAAGTTCATGTGGCAGATATGGTTGACGGGCATACTTATTTCTAAATGCCAGTGCAGCCAACATCAGCTTCTGTATTAAAAACAAGTGACGTAATCACGTTGAAGAAAGTCAGATGAAGGCAACACGAGAGGCACAAAAGCAATACAGTTGTTTTTATAGAAACCCTCATACGTAGTGCCGATACCTTGTATGTGCTGATGGTGAACCTGGTCCTCTGTCGGACTTTCTCAGCGGGCTGCAGTGGATGTCGGCGGGAGTCTGAGGCTTTCACCAGCAGGAATTCAGAGCCGCACGGCGACAGCTGCAACCGCGCTCCGTTCCTATACCGGATATCTACCGACTCATCCTCGTACATGATCATCAACACGGCACTCTCGTCGGTTTCCATCGTAAAAAGGAGCCCTTTACTGCGACCGCGCCGGTAATCAAAACATTATGACATTGTTACGTCATCAGGTGGAGACGCTTACTATTGGCGCGCATATCGTGTGAGACCGGAAGTGTCTTTTCTAAAAGTAAATAAATAAACCCACATTATTATTATTATTATTATTATTATTATTATTATTATTATTATTATTATTATTATTATTATTATTATTATTATTATTATTATATAAAAAACACATCAAAATAAATTGACCAGCATTACCGAATTATGCATGACACTGATATTTATATTAAACCCGGTTATGTATACTTTGTTTGGCTCGGATTTTTTTAAAATAAAAAAACTAAAGGTATGTAGTTAACTACGAAGGAATATCACGAATGTACCTACTGTTTAGTCTTACAAGATATATTTCAGCACTGTCTTTAATCTTCCTAATGTACGGAGCCCCGCAGGGGACATGGGAGAAAAAAAAAATTAAGACGGACTTTTTTAAAAAAAAAAATTTATTTTTTATTTTTTATTTATTAGTAATATAAACATACAAACAAAATGCACCATATATTACAGATTCAGAGAATAGACATTTCTTACATATTAGCAACTTTCATACATAGTGAAAATAAAATATAAAGATGGGGTCACATAATTTAACAAATTATTAACTCACTAAATCAAAATCTTCCATAAAGGAAACAAAAAAAGCAGCCTTTTTCTTTTTAACTAAAGTCAAAGATTTAATCAACAGGTTTAAGTCGTTTTTCCAGTAAGTTAGTGTTGGTTTAGTCTTAAAAAAGCGACATTTATGTATAAAATACTTGCACAAGATTAATAACACATTAACACCATAATTAGCTTTCTTTTCTTTCAAAAACACTCCAAACATTATCATATTTAAGGTAAATGGGGTAATTTGAATCCCACTGGAATAAAGCCAGGTATGAAAATCCAACCAAAATATTTGTATAAAATTGCACAAAAAGAATAGATGGTCCAAATCCTCCTCTTCTGTTTCACAAAATACACAATTACCCGTTTCTATTTTGAATCTATCACTAAGGAGTCTATTTGTCGGGTAAATTTTATTCAAGATTTTAAATTGGACTTCTTTCCCTTTAGGAGGGATAGGGAAGGTGATATAATCAGTTCTTATTTTTTCAATTTCTTCCCTTTGGAAATCTTTTAATATGTAATTACGTCTAAGTAAATTTGGAGAATAAAGACTCCTTAATGAAGATCTAGAAACTTATTGTTGCATTTAACATCACAAATCGAATACCATCTATATATAATTGCCTTAACTTGGGGGAGATGTCAGAATATATTATATCATTTACAACTATGTTTTTAAGTGACAATGGAATGGATTTTATAACCCGATTAAATTTACTTTTAGAACATTGGATATTAAACTTTTGGCAAAAATCTTGATGTCCTAGAACATGTCCTTCCTCATCTACAAAATGGGCAATTGCCCAAACACCTTTTGATAACCAATCTTGAATAAAAATAGATTTTCTGTTCATCAGTATATATCTATTGTTCCAAATTGGGCTGTTATGTGGAGTGAAATTATGTTTAAATAACATTTTCCAATAAAGAAGGACCTGTTTATGGAATTCAGAGAGTTTAGCAGGTAGCTTAGTAATTTCAAAGTCACACTTTAGGAGAAAGTCGATACCCCCCAGTGTGTTAAAGACCTTACTTGGTATAAAAAAACAAATGGAGTGTGGATTATTTAGGAAGGATTTTAACCATTTAAGTTTCAAAACACCATTCATTATATCAAAATCAATTGCGTTTCCACCGCCTTCAATGTATGGTTTAACCAAATCATCTTTAGATATATAATGGCACTTATTCCTCCAAATAAAATTAAAATTCAAGCTATTAATTGTTTTAATAACTTTATTCGATATTGATAAAGAGTAAGCTGGATATATAGATAAACTATCGATTTTGGTTAATAATATTCTTCCAAAAATTGTGATGTCTCTTTGTAACCACTCATTTAAGATTGTCTTACATGCGCCGACTGCATTAATTGGTCTGATTGGTTGGAGCCGAGCGCATCCAAAACTACGGAGCCCCGCAGGGGACATGGGAGAAAAAAAAAATTAAGACGGACTTTTGCGAGATCTCGCAAAAGCTCCGTATAAATAGAATTACAAGAGCATATGTATAAAAAAATAACAGTCATTATTGAAGTATCTGTTTATGGTTCAAAGAGTGGCAACCTGAGAAGAATTAGAAGGGGCACACTTGTGGAATGATGATGAATTAAAACTTAAATTAATATTTGTTTGTCTGTTTCAGAGCAAAGATAGGATTATCACTGTCTGCGAATCATTCTATCTTATCTTCTAAAATTATTATCTTCATTTGTGTTTGTTTTGGCGAAATTTGATTATAAAGTGCCTACATATTTTTGTTCATTTTTGTGGACAATTTCTGCAAGTTAACAGTAGGTGGCACTAATGCGTCGCCTGGCAGTAATAAGACCACAGAAGCAGCAGTACAGCGGCGGTGGACTCGGGAGTTGGTTTCATCACATTACGTACAGAGAAGATACTTTATCTAAATAAGCGACGCTACGCATTGCAATGGTTACACTGACAGTCTCTTTTGTCTTGGTAGACACGCCGGAGTTGCAATGAAGGTATTTTTTTTCTTTACATAACCTTTGTTCCAATTATCTGTCTGATTAGATTTTCGCTAGCACCAAACGGCTAACGCAAGCTTCAGGTCGCTGACGTTTCTGGGCTTGTGTTGGCTAAATACTCAAAACGGCCGGACAAACAGCCACTCTGGCACCTGTCACTCAACACTGATTTGACGTTAAGATTATTTAGTTACATTAGGTTTCCAGGTGAATATTGGTCTAGCTTTTTTTCTGCTTTTTTGTGACATTAGGTACCTTAAGTGCTTTTACTGTTGACATTTACTTTATCTATTCACATCTTGTGCTTTATGAACAGCTCGTACAAACCCCTTCTAGTAGTTTCATGTATTATAATCATGTATAATATGCACATATATGTGACCTTGTGGTGCTTGTGGTAACCGTGTATAAATTATACTGATGGGCCTTTGTGGTTGACAAATTGTCAGTAAGAACAAGATGTTCTTCAGGATTCAACGTGAAGACACTAAATACTGAAGTAAAGGTGTTTTGTAAATGTCAGGCAGGGGCCTCTTCCATGTGGGCTTCATGCTGTGGTCTGCTGAATGAAGTCATGGGTACTGGGGCCGTCAGAGGCCAGCAGCCAGGGTTCGGGGCCGGTGCTGGACCGTTCAGATTTGCCCCCAGTGCGGGATATTCCACGTACCCGCCCACCAGCTCAGGGAGTCCCAGTCTTGTATGCAAGGCCTGTGGTCAGGCCTTCTCAGTCTTCAGGAGGAAGGTAGGTGCCTGGGTGTTCTGTCTAATACAAACATATTACCTGGTCTGATAAGGAGGAAACATATTAAATGAATTATTTAGACAGAAGTATTGTGGGCATGGAGAGTGTGCGTGCTTAGCTCATTTTCTCATGTGCATTTTTAATGGGTGTTCATATTTTTTTTTTGAAAAAAAAAAAAAGCATGTAATTATAAAGGTTTAAATGAATTCAAATAGTTAAAAAGAGGCTAACTGGTTTTCTAGAGTGCTGACATGATGATATTTATTTGTCCTGGGACAAAAAGGCACAAGTTGGGAGGCAGATGGACCAACATGCTAGTGCTCTAATATCTTCATGCTCAGGCTCTCATTCTGTCTGAACCCTCTGCACACCACCATGCCGGTCTAATCCCATATATTGCATTTATTACTCTTTGATGTTTGTCACATAAAAGAAAGCACCTCCTGTCTCTGTCTGCATGGGAAGAGCAGATGTGAGTGATAGAAATGCAATAAAGCTCTGGTGGCATTCAGTGATTTATTAAATGGTTTTGGTATTTTTCCTGTTTTGACTGTAATAGCAATATTTATTATAAAATATATGTGCATATAAGGAGGAGAATGAGACAGGTTACATTTTTGTCTGTGACGTCTTCCTGCGATTAGATACCTTGCAGTAGCACATGGCGGAAGGTGTGCATAAATCACTAATTCCCTCATTTCCATCACCTTGTTTTTCTTCCTCAGTATATTTGCTGCGACTGCAAGAAGAGCTTCTGCTCTCTGTGCTCCGTGCTTCAGGAGAATTTACGCATTTGTGCCACGTGTCATTTGCTGAAGGCGACGGCCTTTCAGCGGCCGCGGCTCATGCGTCTCAGAGTGAAGGACCTGCGTCAGTACTTGCTGCTGCGTAACATCCCCACCGACACCTGCAGGGAGAAGGAAGATCTGGTGGACTTGGTTCTCTGTCATCAAGGAATCGAGGAAGAGGAGGACCCCGACATGACCAGCCTTCAGTCGCGTTCCCTGTACACTCCAACCCCTTCTACCACACAGTCTGCCTCCGAGCTGTCTGCGTTCGCTGCCTCTCAGGAGGAAGCGCTCAGCAGGAGCGATAGCTCTGACACCAACCAGGTCAGAACCAGGTTAAACACATGTATGCAAATAACATACTCTCCAGACCTCTACAGATATTTATGTAGTAATACTTTTCTGTTGGTGGAACGCATACATTTCTAAGAAATTCACGTGAGTGTTTTCCAGAAAATGAGTCGGTTAGAGTTCACTGCTCATCCTTTCAGCTAAATTTGCACACCAACTAAATAAAAACAAATCAGGACTCTAGAAAGCAATAAAAGAAAGCAAATAAGCTAGAAGAGAGCCCAACCTCAAGCAGCCAGGAGCCACTATAAATACTTGTACCAGGACTGATTATAGAGCAGTAAGCTTGTCTTTGAATGGAACGTACCAGGCATTGTTGTTTCCAGTGTATCAATGGGCTGGCTGAGGTCTGTCTAATCCTAATCTTCTGTTGGCGGCATGCTTCTTGTGTGCAATGCATACTATGTTTGTTGTTGCCTTTCAGGATATGGGAGACGGTACATCAGTGTCTCTTCTCAACTTGGATCCCAGTGAAGACACTCCTGAGGTCTTTCTATTTATTTTCCTTTTAATAAAAGTGAATTCAT